TTCTATTGAGGAGGCATATTTATGCTTAGCCTTACAGCAGCAGAATGGTGTATCCACAGTGCAAATGGGCGAGCGCAAATCACTCACGAAACATGAATCTTGCATTTGAAAACTGATTTTTGAGCGTTCATAATTTTTCCTGATGGTTAGAGCGAGAGAATAAAAATCGATAATTGGAAAACATTGGACCTTTTTGCCCCCTCCCCAGCTCATCGCACAGGAGTCACGTGCACTTCAAACCCTGGTGTGTGCAATCCCATTAGTCATAGAGTAACATTTCACCAATATCTAGCCTAGTTTTACGAGTAAAAGTAAAACCTCGAAAGAATGCATACAAATATATCACTGTTTTTACAGTACGTTCCTTAACTTTTGTTGACTAGTTTATTACACTGGTCGAGTCTACCTCCTAATAATCTCTCACTGCTGCGAGAGCTTTTTTTTTCCTCGACTTTTTACTGCCCTATAATCAGATCGTGACCTCGATTATGACACAGGCTTGTGGCCGCGAAAGGCTAGACAAAAAAAAGCCAAATGTGAAATTTAAAAAATGATAATTGTCATGTTCTACCAAAGAGTTAGACTCCCTGGTAGATCTATAACATAGATCTAGTACTGACATCTCTGCTTCTTTGCTTTGTGTTTGTGTATTCACATCTAAAGTTAAATTTAGTTTTAATTGGAATTCATATTTAATGAGATATTTTCCCGATTATTTTGGCGGATGAACATACAATAATGAATTCCGGATTTGTTTTCATTCACAACTCTGAGTCGCCGACTCGAGCGAGGTTCTTGTGCGATATCCCCAGGCCATATCTGGTCCCGTTTCACTTTGATTACCCTGTCAAACAAGTCAGCCTTCGCCCCTGCCACCGACTCTAAATCGGGCAATCGACGGGGTGCACTCTATTATTGGCGCTAGTCAAGAAACTATGACCTACCTTGGCCAAAGGAAGACGACAGAAGCTGCAAAAAAGAATCCCCCTGTTGTACGACAAAAATTATCCAGTGAGGAGAGAGGTGAGGGCAACTCTTACAGCAAAGCAATGTATTTACGAAATTCTCCCCATACCCGCCCTATTCACAAAATTTTGCACCCTCTTGAGTTTTTCCTGTTTCCAAAATCTGGGAAAAAAATCTCAAACGTCAGCGTTTCCATAATGATGAAAATGCTATCCGCAGCGCAAGAAAGGTTTGAGTCCCATCCAAGGTCTCATTTTGCTCAAGGAGTTTTGAGGGACATACAAAGATAGTAAAAATGTGTCAGTTTGCAGGGTGACTTTGTAAAAAAAAGTAGCATTGTGAGTGCTAATAGATTTCAACTTATAATTTGATTCTTTCATAGTTAAAGTAAAGACTTATTGAACACCCCTCGAATAACTGATAAAGAACAAGCCCTGTTAATTAAACAGTTTGTACATTATTGTTGGCTTATAACAATTTTTACATTTTACTGGTTTCTCACTACACAACGTAGCCTTCCGTGTTTACCTGTGTCTTTACAACTAAAAAACACGAAGTAAGAAGCAACTGAACAGTGTTAGATTTAGAGGTGAAAACGATATAGAAGAAAAGTTTGGAACTGCCTCTTGCCAGTATCTGATTCTGTCATACTTGTTGCAGTGGCAGTAGTAAAAAAAAATTCCTTGCATTAAAAAAAATAAACGAACAAATGTATCACAACAGCAGTTTGATTTCCGTATGGTGGACTTCTGAAAATTTGAAGATAAGATAAACTTCATTTGTCTTTTTATTTGTATAAAATGTTATTGAAGTTTAAGTATCGGGTCGAAAGGCACTTCTCTCAAGTCAAAGGGCATGTTCCTACATGGATGTCGGCAGCCAAAAATGAGTGTACTTGCAGCCTTGCAGCAGTCTCACTATTTAACACTCAGCAAAGAATTCTCTTAGGCCTAGTTCATCCTGCGGAAAATAAGGACACACTTTGAAAGACAGCTCGCATAATATTGTTGATAAAATTACGTTAACAAAGGCTTTTAGAGCGTAATAGGGTGCAATGTGTCAAATCTGTAGTCGGAAAATAAGATAGTAAATGTGAGGCAGCGTGGTGGAATCAGGCTCTCGTCAATTTTTTGGCGTGTACAGTTATTGGTATCATCTTAAAGCTTGTTCATTTATCTTTCTTAGGATGAAAAATAGATCCATTTATCTTGAATACAAGTCGATATATTTGCGAATGAAGAAGGCGGGGTTACCTGTTTTCAGGGGTAAAATTAGTGACAAAATTGCCGCCAAAGATTAGATATTTCCTTAGCTTAAGAGTCCATGGTAATAGAAAATTTTCATTTTTTGTGCCTTTAAATGACGTTTTTCAGAAAAATCCACACAAAAATTAGTACTTTAATGGGCATGGAAGGTGTTGAGCCAAAATACAAAAATTAAATAAAAATTCACAAACCTGCGGTTTCTTCACTTTGAATATTTTGACGAGAGCCTGATTCCACCACGCTGCCTCACAAATTGGACTATTTAGGTT